GTTCCCAAAATATCTGATTTACTTTTCATAGAAAAACAGGAATTTTCATAGCCATGTTTATGAATATTCAGTTGAATCATCTAATTAGTTAAATATTATAATTACACTTATGATTTCATCTATAAGCAACTAACAGTGATTCAACAGCAAATATACAACGGCTTTTGTTAAGCATGGACTCCATGGTAAAAAACAGACAGGAGGTGAGATGCTAGAGAAGACCTAAGAACTCAGGGAACTGATGTTACAGAGGGAGGAGAAGGCATGTTTGGATCTGAAAAATGAAGGTTAGTAAATAGAGTTCTGCTGTGAACAAGGGTTTCTTCACACAAAGTAGAGGAAGAGGCAGTTTGTGTGTGTGTGTGTGTGTGAGTGTGTGTGTGTGTGTGTCTGTGCGTGCACGGGTGCATGCTTGTGCTATGGTTTACAGTACTGTTGCTGATAGTGTTTCTTACATAACAATTTTCATCTTGTCCTGAAATAAATTTAAACCCTTACTAGTTTTTAAGCATCATCAGCTGGCAAAAGAGTCAGTGTCAATATTAAAATGGCCTGCCCTCTGGAATCTTTTACATTGGTGTTCCAGGCAGGCAAGGCAAGAGACAAGACTGAGATGAAGGGTCTATTAATCTTAGCCATCCTCTGTTTAGTTACTAGTTCCAGAAACTCTGTGTGGGAACTGGGGCTAACCAGAGATTGAGTTCCAAACATCCAGTTTTGGCCACACATAATTCTGACTTTTCACCAAAGTGGAAAATTTTCAAGTTAAACACAGGCTTAATGGAACTTGTTGAAAAGAAATTGGTAATTTCTCAAAGCTTTCTGATTTTTCAAAAATACATGGTGTAATTCCATGTGGTTGTCTTGGAGATACTAGCATAATTGCTCTCTAATCCTTTTGTTAACCTTATTCATTCAATTGATTTTATTTTCTTTGTAATTCCTTTCACCCCCCAACTTCCTTGTAGTTGAAGCAATGGAGACTCATTTCCAAAGCATGGTTTTAGGAAGCCAATAGTATCAAGTCCATTTGCCTAGGGAAAAAAATGACATCAGCATACTAGCATACTTGGTCATATCTTGTTTTTGTCCAGATCATTCTAGTGAGAAACACAAGGGTCATTTTTGGGGTTTTCCCCATCCCATTCTCATCACATGGCAAAGGACCAATGAGTCAGTGCTGATGAATAAATGGATATGACTGAAATATGTTGAAATAGAAAAGGTGAACTAGAACTTGTCAGACTGAGAAAAGTCTTGGTGAGTCTATCGGGTGTCACAAACTCAGTATCCGCAAAGGAGTCTATCCATTCCTCTGGACCAGCATCCTTAGAACAACAGAACTCTCAAAGGAGCCTTTTGAGAAAACTAAAAGAAGCAGCAAGAGGATTTTTTTTCTTAGTGCTCTTATTCTTTTTTTTTGGGGGGGGGGTCACACCCGGTGATGCACAGAGGTTACTCCTGGCTCTGCACTCAGGAATCACTCCTGGTGGTGCTCAGGGGACCATATGGGATGCTGGGAATTGAATCTGGGTTGGCTGTGTGTAAGGCAAACACCCTACCTGCTGTGCTATAGCTCCAGACCCAAGTGCTGTTATTCTTTAGCATTGAGTATTTTTAACAGTATTTGAACCAAATCCATCCAACAGGACTTGAAATATATATATATATATATATATATATATATATATATGTATATATATATACATATATAATCCTTGAAGGTATAGACCTTCCATAAGTTACAAAATCTCTGACTTCATCCAGTTTTATTTGCTTTCAATAGATGATAGCTGTTTTTGACACATTTCTTCATTCTTTGCTATCTGCTTTCTTGCAATACTATGAGTTCCTTGAAGGCAGGGGTGATTTTGTACACCACCATAGTATAGTTCTGTCTATAGTGGATGGTACAGCGTGGGTACTCAATAAATGACTTGTAGAAATAGATTCTACTTCCAGTCATTATACGCAAAATTAAAACTTTAACTCACTACTGATCCTGTTCTCCACCTCGGAAGTCAGTTCATCTAAGGTCCATCAAAGGGGAAAAAAAGAAGTCTCAGGGAAATATACTCCCTCCAGAAAACTTCATCATGGGAGTATCCTAAAAAATAACACAAGTAGCCCCAATTTTACACTTTATTCTATTTTTTACTTGTTCCAAGTACTTCATATCACTATGAAAATTGCTTACAGTTAAAAAGACTCATGGGGGGCCCAAGCTATAGTACAGCAGGTACGGTGTTTGTCTTGCATGCGGCTGACCCGGGTTCGATCTCCCAAGCACCACCAGAACTAATTCCTGAGTGCAGAGCCAGGAATAACCCCTGAGCATTGCTGGGTGTAACCCAAAAAGCAATCACTGTATCATTGTCATCCTGTTGTTCATCAATTGCCTCGAGCAGGCCCCAGTAATGTCTCCTTCGTCCTAGCCCTGAGATTTTAAAAAGTGCCATAGTTGAGGCTCTTTCAGGGTCAGAAGTATGAGACCCATCATTGTTACTGTTTTGTGGCATATTGAATACGCCACAGGGAGTTTGCCAGATTCTGCCGTGTGGGCAGGATACTTTTGGTAGCCTGCCAGGTTTTCCAGAGCAAGAACTAGACAATAAGATGTCGCATAGCCTCTCGCTTGCTTCTGGGAGCAGGGTTTTATAGTCTCTGGGCCTTGGCCGTTGATGGGATTAACGGTGCTGGGGGGCAGTTGGTGGGTGTAACGCCTACATAGTGAAAGATGGGGGATCTGGGTGAAGGAGGCCCCAGTCCCAATCCGAGCAGGCTTGGAGATCTACGCCCCGGGTCCCGCACATCTGGATTCCTCTTCCGGTTCCTTCATGTGTGAGGCTCATCAGAATGTGTGGAGAGCGGTCTTAAGCATGACTGTGGATAGAACCAGAGGTCTTCAGCTACCGGTGCTCTGCTCGGGATGGGGAAGGAAACTCAACCCACCCTCCTCCAAGGGGCCCCGGTGAGGAAAGCCAGAGGCGGAGGCAGGAGACTCTGCGCTGTTCTCATCCAGGAGCAGGGTTTTATAGTCTCTGGGTCTTGGCTGTTGATGGGATTACACGGTGCCGGGGGCAGTTGGTGGGTGTCAATAAATAAATAAATAAATAAATAAATACAAATAAAAGACTCATGGTCCAAAGTAAGATGATTTGTCCTTTTCTTTGCTTTTTTGGTTCATATTAGGTCCAATCATTCCTAACTCTTGTCTTTTTCCAATATAAAGTGAATAAAGTTCTTATACAATGTCCAAATGCCCATGAAGAAGGCCTTTTGTTGGACAGGAGAGAGAGTTTAGGAGAGATAGTTCAGTGGGAGCCTGGCATCCAGCTGCTTCCAGCTCAAATTCACTCTTCCACATATGGTCTTTCGAGCACTGTGAGGAGTCACTCCTGAACACAGAGCCAGAAATAGTCCTTGAGCACTATCAGAGCCTATGCAGTTACTCAAGTCTCACATATTGTTCCCAAGAGTTTCTTGGGGTGGGCATGTTCCTGTGAGGTTTTTCAAGTTCTTCAAGGAAGAGAGATTGGCAAAAAGGACTGTGTTTGACCTCTCACAGTTACATGTGAATCCCCAAACTCAAAACCAACAATAAAAGTCAAACAGACCTCCCCAATACACAAATATCACTGTTCCCCCAGTCTCTATCAATGATGAGAAAAGTTACTTCAAGGTCACCCTGAAGACCCTCTGAGATCTAAAATACAAGATAGAATACTTAGATGATGCTATCCTCCCAAGCAGCACCCCAGCCTGTGACATCCTTTCTGCCCCGCTGCACAAACTGTGCTGCATTTCTGTATGAAAACTTCCAAAACCCAGGCTGCCCTGAGAAACGATTCCCCATTAACTTGAAGAGAGATGATTGCTTAACCCTCTAGATATCATTCATGAGTGGGAGACAAGTTTAGACCATAGGATTTTCTAGAGAAAGTATGAGTCTTAGCATTCTAGGAATCTTTCCAGAGGACAGCAGTCTCCATGGGAATAAGGATCATGTTTTACTCACATATTTCTGGGATCTTCCTAGTCAGTATTCAATGGATGTCTGCTGCATGACTAAATGCTTTATCAGGATGACTGTTCATGTAACCATATCTCCAAGTATTGCCAACGTTTTATGTGTTTGGAATCAGCATCTCTCGGAATGAGCAAGCTCAGGGTGCTGTCATTTGATCTTAAATATGACTGTGTAATCACTGCATCTGAAGATTATCATCACGCCACCTTCTCAATATTTCTCCTCTCTGTTTTCACCGCACTCATCTTCTAACAGAGAACATCTGTGAATTACCATTTTCTTATTTTCCCTTCTGGGCCACAAGAACTGAATTTCTTAGGCATGCTTTATTGCTATACCCCAAGTGCCCCAGAAGAGAGCCCAACAAATATTATGGGCTTAGTCATTATTAATCAAGTAAATAAATACATGAATAATTTTTAGTATGAACTTCATGCATAGGAATCTATGCAGGACTTTGCCAAATCCCAGTTCTTACTTCAAACCTAAGAGATAAGAAGGGTTAGGGTTATGAGTCTTGGGAATGTACATTTTTATCAACAACTCTTATATATAGCTATTCAGAAAACCACAAGTCCAACCAACTCAGTAAATCAAACATAATCCTTGAACTCAGGGAGATAAAGCATCTTTCATGCATGTGGATTATTTGGCAGTGCATCAAAGTGGAATTACTCCTGTCCTGAGCTTTCCACACCAGATACCCAAGAGTCTGGATTTCCCTTTATCAATCATCCTAAAAATTAACTTCTCATTAGTTATTATAAACCCTAATACGTCACTGTTTCCTAATATGTTGTGTCTCTATTTGAATTAGCTTCCTTGCTGTCCCATAAGTGCACATCACTGACATCAAATCCATGGCTTATTTTGTGTTTAACAAAGAAATATTGAATCTAATGATGCTTTTGTTCAGAAAAACGACTCTGTGTCCATGCCTAAAAGTCATTGTTTCCTTTCCTCCTTCTAGCTCCTGGACATTTCCGTTAAGTGGACCACCCAGGAAACCATTCCTCCAAAGTATCTTCATTATGACCCAGAAACCTCCAAGCAGCTGATGTGTGACCAGTGTCCTCCCGGCACTTTCCTCAAACAGCACTGCACAGCGAGCCAGAAGACTGTGTGTGTCTCCTGCCAGGCCCACCACTACACCGACCGCTGGCACATCAGTGAGGAGTGTCTCTACTGCAGCCCAGTGTGCAAGGAACTGCAGCACGTGAAGCAGGAGTGCAACGCCACCCACAACCGTGTGTGTGAATGCGAGGAAGGCCGCTACCTGGAGCTGGAGTTCTGCCTGAAGCACAGGAGCTGCCCCCCTGGGTCTGGAGTCCTCCACCCTGGTATGCATCTGTTTTGCCATGGAGGGAAACATGCATTAGTAGACGACAAAGTAGGAGAGCTGGGAAAGTTTAAGGGAACACTCACCCAGGGGACATTAGAGGAAAGCAAATTGCTAAGGTAATGGAACCTGCTAGGTACGTACTCTGCATCTGGATGGCTGCCAAAGGACCATTTCTCAGAGGATTACCTTGGCACTACAGGGCAATTTAGTGACAAATCTCAAATGCAGCAAATTGCTCTCTAATGAGATGTGTGATGGATTGCTCTTTTTTTAAAGGCATACATTGTGAGTTGCATGCTTCCGGTCGCCATGTACCTCTGTGTTTCTCTTCGGCCTGGACGGCTTCAAACGGCAATGGTTTTTTCCTTTCTTTTTTTGACAAACATCAGAAATGTTAATTGATACCTAGAGAGTAATTATGCTGATATTAATGAGACTCTAGAGTGCAACAATGAGCAGTTATCATTAATTATGTAAGAAATGAGAATGATTAGGGAAATGTGTTCCATTATTAAAAATGAAGCTAGTTCTCCCTTCGGCCTGGGAGTTGAGTGGGAGGACAAAGGTTGTAGATATATCCCTCCAATGTGTATATTCTTTACCTTAGACAAAAGAGATAGTCAAGCCAAGAGTATGAACTTGTCTACCAAGTACTTTCACCATCTGCTTTTCAGCAGCACACAGGTTAAAGCCAGAATACATAGAATATTCTGTAGTTGCAATGCATATTTTGGTTTTTCCCTGACACATTCATGAAGTTTCAAGCTAGTGTGTATCCTTTCATGACTGAAGAAAACTAAGAGTATTTATTTACTTCTGTGGAAGTAATAAAAATCTGTGTATAATCTGGCTAATTGGAAGCATTGTTCCTTGATTTCATCTCTATTAATATTTTGGGCATGGTAATGCTCTTTGTGGGCATCTGTCTTATGCATTGCAGTTATAGAGACATCACTGGTTTTGGGACACTAATTTCCAATAGCAATGTTTCCCTGCTGTGACAACTAAAATGCTTCCTGGAATTGTCATTTGCCCCTGAGATGATATAATCTCTAAAACCTTTGATTTAGAGGATGCTAATTAATTGTTATTGGTTTAACTTTTAGACATGGTGAGATGCAGTTTAAATTCTTTGATGACAAATACTTTCAGTTGACAGATCAAGCCAATTATTCAAAAGTTGAAGTACATTAACTTTCCAAAGTTTTGACAATAATGAAATTAATCACAGAATGTGAAAATTGCATGAGTCCTTAAAAATAACACTCTTGAGTATTTAAGGGAGAAATTGGTGACACATCCTGATTTGTATCCGATGATAATTTGAGACTCAAAACTAAGCCAAGCTGTGGAATAAGAAAATCCATCCAATAAAAATAGCAATTTAATTCAATGCAGTAGTTGTACACTTAGATAAATTAAGTAAGGTGAAACTATTTGGCTTGTAAATGAGGATATTTTAAAAAATAATAGAAATGGCAAGATTTTTTTCACAAAACTATAAAAATGTTATAAAATAAAAAGGGAAAGCCAAGAAACAGGGCAAAGGTACACATGTTGGGGGTGGCGGGGGCACTATAGTGGGGATGGTACTTTCCTCCCTTAAAAGCTTGTAGTGTAGTTTGATTACCCATGGGAAATCAAAGGTTTCTAGAACCCAACAAATGAAAGTCCCTGAAGTCCCTGTAGTGTTACTCTGAATATTACCCAAGAAATTTTCTTTTCTTTTTTGGGAGGATGACCACATCTGGCTCTGCTCAGGGCTTACCCTTACTCCACATCAGCAGAGTCTCAGGAGACCATATGGAGTGCCAAGGATTGAACCCTGGTTGGCTGCATGCAAAAAAATGCCTCAAAACCTGTACTATCTTTCCAGTTCCTCAATATTTTTTTTGTTGTTGCACTGAAGTCGGACCGTCACCTCTCCATTTTTCTTTCTTATTATATTTGTTAATCCCACAGTTCTATTGTAATTACCTACATTTAGCTAACATAGTGACATTCTCAATTCCAAAGCAAAAGTTCTTTCCTCTTTGTGGTATTTCTATTTTGCCTGCAAGATCATACTTCTTATATATGTATTGCTATTAATAAGACAAGCTCATTTACTTAAAGGGAGAATAGATCTCTTTTTGTAGAAAAGTTCTATCAATTATAGTAGAAGGGAAGCTGAGAGCATTGGTTATATGAAACTTCTAAGTAGATGAATAGTTTTTGACTTCTATCACTCTAAGTTTCCTTTTGTCAAAGAAATTTAAAGGCTAAATTAGATGAAAGAGTGCCTTATACCTATGACTTCCTCAGTAGGATGTCTGAGTAGACTCAAGTCATTACATCCTGCCTGAACAATGATAGCTGGCTTTTTAGAATATGTGTCAGTTGGTAACGGAAGGGCAAGATCCAGATATCCAGGATGTCCAAATCTACCAGAAAATTATTAAAGATAGAGTGCGCTGGAATCCCTGTCTAAACATGTCTGCTTATAACATATTGGAATCTGGTGTCAAGCAGAAACACAATTGAGGAGAAAGATATGCTAATAAAGTACTATTTTAAATGGACTTTTGAAAAAAATCAGTGATTGATTCCTGAGGTGCTGTCATAGCAGCCCTGGAAATTTATTTACTATGTGAGGATTTCTAGCCTATGGCTTTCCCTTCTCTTTTTTTCCTGCCTGTCACTGGTCATTACTGAAACAGCATCATGCCTTTAAAAAGGATAGAAGGAGATTAAAAAAAAACACCCTTTTAATTTTTCTAGTTTTGATTAAAGATTTGATGAGGTCGGAGATAAAATATGTTTCAGAAATGAAGTTTATTTGCTTTTGCTTGCTTTCATTTGCCTCTTTTGGATTTGTTATCTTGCATAAGCCAGAATTGGCCTTTGAAAGCTATATTTGAATATTGAAGACCAAATTTGTTCAACTAGCTTACACTAGGTGGGGGTATTTTCATATGCAAATATAATATAAGTTCTCTTTGTGCATGTTTAAGTGAAGGGTATGAAGGTATTTATTTTTAATTTCATCCTTCGTTGTTGACAGATTCAAGTTTTCCTACCAGTGATTTCTTCAAATTTATCAAGTATCTTTCACCACAAAATAAAATGCCCTTGTAGTCACCCTTGGCTGAAATTTTAATGACTCTGCGTCTTTAAAACTCAATGGTTTAAGCCACAGTGTATATCATCTTCCACTTACTGGGTAGTTTAACTGCTGGCTCATCATACTTTTCCGATAGCACCCGACTTTATGTGCACTTTCCAGAGTGTATTATAATATTGTAAATTTTTACCCCTCAAGGTTAGCATACTTATTTGAGTTGCTTCCCAATTAGGATTCAGGAAAGAGAGGACATCAGTAGAAAACAGTTGGAATTTAACTATGTAGTATTCACTGGACCCTGAGCTCAAACTGCAGTTACATAATAGTTATATTCCAGCATGGTTTCTTAGGAATCATGGAGTGGAGCGTAGAGTAGCCCACATGATCTTATGGACACATCATCAAAGGCGGGACTAATGGACACTCTATCTTTATTTCCGTTCTCATTTTCTGAGTACTGTGAGAGCAACAAAAAAACAAAGTTGAACGAGGAAGAGAGACCGCCTAAAGGATTCAATTGCAGAAGTTTCCTTCTCCCTGTCTAATGAAGTGAAAAATGAAAATGCCTGAAGTTTTGTGCACCATATTAGTAGCAGTAAAAACCAAGTGAAACCACTTTCAGAAACTGTGTTAAGAGGGTATCTGCTGTGAGAGTATTTGAGAAGGTACTAAATTTCTTGGTATTTTCTGTAGGAACCCCGGAGCGAAACACAGTTTGCAAAAGATGTCCATATGGGTTCTTCTCGAATGAGACATCAGCCAAAGCACCCTGTAGAAGACACACAAATTGCAGTGCATTTGGTCTGCGGCTGACTCAGAAAGGAAATGCGACCCATGACAATATATGTTCTGAAAGCAGTGAATCGACTAAGAGATGTGGAATAGGTAATTCTATTATAATTATATTACCTATAATCTATTGGTGATATTAGCTATAATCTACTGGCTGGACTGATAGCAGGGCTGGAGCAATAGCTAAGAGGGTAGGGCATTTGCCTTGCATGCGACTGACCCAGGTTCCATTCCTCCTTCCCTCTCGGAGAGTCCAGCAAACTACCGAGAGTATCCTGCACACATGGCAGAGCCTGGAAAGATCCCTGTGGTGTATTCAATATGCCAAAAACAGTAACAAAAAGTCTCACAATGGAGACGTTACTGGGGCCCGCTCAAGCAAATCGATGAACCACAGGAGGACAGTGCTACAGTATAATCTGTTATCCACCTATGAGTTGAACACTGGCTATCCTACATGAAATTCATATTTTAACTTTCCTGAATTTTATCCAGCTCTGACTATTCTCAGTGCATCACTTCCAACCTGTTAAGCAAAAGCTGCCCAAAGGTTCTTAACTTCTCAGATAAAATTTCAGCCTCTTATTTTCTTCTTCTCACACTGGATTCAAATCAAGGAAATGGGGTGACTCTTAAGATTATGGGAAGCTATAAAATCTGGAAACAACACAAATGCCCTAGAACAGATGACTTGTTAAAGAAACTTTGGTACATCCATACAATGAATACTTTGCAGCTGTCAGGAGAGATGAAGTAGTGAACTTTGCTTATAAATGGATAGACATGGAGAGTATTGTGCTAAGTGAAATGAGTCAGAAAGAGACGGACAGACATAGAAGGACTGCACTCATCTGTGGAGTATAAAACAACGTAACATCAGGCTGACACCTAAGGATAGTACATACATGGGACAGGAAGATTGCTCCATAGCCGGAAGCCTGTCTCATAAGCAAAGGGGAGAAGGTAGCTGTAATAAAGAAGGGATCACTAACAAAACGGGCTGGAGCGATAGCACAGTGGTAGGGCATTGGCCTTGCACACAGCCAACATGGCGACCTGAGTTCGATTCCTCTGCCCCTCTCGGAGAGCCCGGTAAGCTATCAAGTGTATCTTGCCCGCATGGCAGAGCCTGGCAAGCTACCCATGATGTATTTGATATGCCAAACACAGTAACAACAAAGTCTCCAGTGAAGGCGTTACTGGGCCCGCTCGAGCAAATCGATGAACAATGGGAGGACCGTGACCGACCACTAACAAAATGATGGCTTGAGGAACCGGTTGGGATGGGAGATGTGTGCAGAAAGTAGATAAAAGACCAACATAATAACCTCTCAGTGTCTGTATTGCAAACCATAATTCCCAAAAGTAGAAAGAGAGTATAGGGAATATTGTGTGCCATGAAGGCGGGGGTGGGTGGGAAAAGGGGGTCATACCGGGGATATTGGTGGTGGGGAATGTGCACTGGTAGAGGGATGGGTGTTTGATCATTGTGTGATTGTAACCCAAACATAAAAGCTTGTAACTAATCTCACGGTGATTTGATAAAATTAAAAAAAATTATGGGAAGCTTCATGATCAGAGTCAAATTGCAGAAGTATCTTTCCAGCTAAGAAGCAAAGTGAGGTCTTTGATGATAAATTAGAAACATGGCCACGTTTGCTAAATTCAATAATACCACATCTATTAAATGGGAAGCTCCAAGTTCCTCACACTTTCATTCAGGAAAAGTCATTGATTCCAAGCCTGAGTGACCTATATTCAAATGCACCCCAGGTCCTTAGGGCACCAATCAACCTGGTTTCCTCACCTTATCCCTCCCAGCCCTAAACTAATAACAGCCCTTCTGAAATAACAACAAGGAAGATGTGCCTTTGAGTATTTCCAGAAGTTCCCAAACTTAAATGGCCTACCACCTTTTCTGGGGGAAAAAAAGTGCTTCATTGTCCCCCACCCCCATGCCCTCAGAGAACTATTTTTTGAAACGTAATAAATAGAAAGCTCATGCCCGTGCCCCTCAACCTAGCTGCACCTGAGGTACTACTGCTTACATCTCGCAAGTTACCCTAGAAGTTGGTATCAGCCACTTGGCAATTTGTTTAGCTACTATTTAACTACTGATTTAACTAGTATGACATTTTTCAACTTGACCCACCTTGCACATTTTTGTATGGCACAGAAGCTTGTGCCAAATAGAATGTGGGCTGGGAGAGTTAAGATTTTGATTTTACAGCCCAGTCCCAGCATCTCTGTACTGTGTAACTGAAATCTTAGGCAAATCTTTTATTTATTTATTTATTTAGGCTTTTGGGGTCACACCTAGTGATGCACAGGGGTTGCTCCTGGCTTTTCACTCAGGAATTACTCCTGGCAGTGCTCAAGGGGATGATATGGGATGCTGGGAATTAAATCCAGGTCAGCCATGCGCAAAGCAAATGTCCTACCCACTATAATATCACTCCAGTCCCTAAGCAAGTCTTTTAGTATTAAGGCTACCTTATTTGAAATATAGAATGAGGAGAGGTGGAGCTAAGAGTGAATTTTTTAATTTAATATTATCTTTATTAAGTTCATTAAAAAATTCAACATTCATCAGACACTAGATCAGGTTCAATATAGGTAGTGAAGAACAAAGCCAGGATTCGAACCCAGATTTGATGAATCTGATAAATTCTTTGGCTTGGGGAGATAGTTCAAAGATTCAGTTTACATTGTTTGTATGTCAGAGGTGCCAGCCCTGTATGTTTCCCAGAGAATCACTGGATTAAAACCCAGAGCACTGATCTGGGAGTAGCCCGTGATCACTGCACTGCTGGGGGTAGCCAAAACCAAAAAATAAATAAACAAAACCCAAAATTGAAAATATTTCTATCTATAAATTCATGCCATAGTAATTACCCTTTTCATTTCTGTTTTGCTTTGGAACTCAACAGTGTTCAGGGTTCTGTGCTCAGGGATCACTCCTGGCAGGGCTCAGGGGTCAATATAGTGTGTCAAAACCAAACCTAGGTTATCTGCATGCGAAGCAAGTGCCCTGCCCACAGTACTTTCTCCCCAGCATAGTGGTATGTTTTTAATGTTCATTTTTCCCTACTTAATGCATGCTGATATGCCTATTGTCATCCTTTTCACAAAGGTAAAATCCATGCTGACATATGTGCAAGAAATAGTACACTATGCCACATTCCTTTTCAAGTTCTTTTAAAGGCACTGATTATATTTGTTTTGAAATTGATCTTGAAGTACCCTGTAGGAGCTAGAAAAATCTTAGATAGAATGTTAATATCTACATTGATTCTTACCATTTTTTTCAGCATTTATAACACTATTGTATTCTTATTAGATATTTATTAAATCCTTCCTCCAATGCACTAAAAGAACATTGTAATGGATATAAGCCCAGTGAGGTTGGGAATATGCCAAAAATCCATTAATAGAAGGTTTATTTTATTCCCATTTCTCATTTTAGAATATTATTTCTTGGAAAATTCAAGGTGGATTTGTTTATTTTTAAAATTTTATTTAATAGGCTTTGAATAATCCAGTTGTTGACTAAACTTTGTTGGATTTTCCACTTTCCTTTAGATGTTACTCTTTGTGAGGAGGCATTCTTCAGGTTTGCTGTTCCTCCCAAAATTACCCCTAACTGGCTCAGTGTCCTGGTAGAGAATCTGCCTGGCAACAAAATAAATGCGGAGAGTATAGAAAGAATAAAACGCCGACACAGCTCACAAGAACAAACTTTCCAGCTGCTAAAGTTATGGAAACATGAAAACAAAGACCAGGATATGGTCAAGAAGATCATCCAAGGTATGGCAATCGAAAATAATCAAGTTGACCAGAAAGCAAAGATATCCATTTATCATAGCACTGCACTGTCCTCCTGTTGTTCATCGATTTGCTCAAGCAGGCCCAGTAACATCTCCATTATGAGACTTGTTATTACTGTGTTTGGCATATCGAATACATCATGGGTAGCTTGCCAGGCTTTGCCATGCAGGTGAGATACTCTCGGTAGCTTGCCAGGCTCTCCGAAAGGGGCGGAGGAATCAAACCTAGGTCGGACAGGTTGGTCACATGCAAGGCAAATGCCCTACCCACTGTGCTATTGCTTCAACCCTGTTTTATCATAAATTCTGTTTTTATCATAAAACAGAAATGAAGCTATGTTCCAGTAGTGTCATTGATCCACGATGGTTTCCCTTTTTCAGTGACTATTTCCAAGTGATAATATAGATGCTATTCTGAGAGATATTAGGCATGGTTTTACTGTCATCTCCACCATCCACTTCCCCCAAGTGAATAAAACCAAATGCAGAACTTGACCCCAGGAAATCTGCCTTTCATTCCTCAGTAGTTTTATTAGCATACCCTCTGGTGTACCTGCAAGCTCTTTAACCACTTTGGAACTGACCTTGACGTTATATTATGAAGTTATATTGCATCTATTTTGTAATTCTCTCCAGAGAGCTTCTAAGTGTCTTACAGATATCCATCCTTTCATTAATCCTCACAACATGGCCTGTTTTAAAATTACCATTTTAATAGCATATGTTGTAAGGATTAATGAGATAAGGTTTTCATAGTATTTAAGTTTTGTGAGAGAAAGGGCTAGTTAAAACCATGTACTCTTATTTTAAAGTTTATAAAGAGTATGAGAGAGTGAAAAGAAGATGGATGATGTGGGTGACAGTGGTAGTGGTGATAGCAAAGAATCCAAAGAGTAAATGTCAAGTTTTACCCAGTATGAACTTTAAGCTTTAAGAAGAATTCTGCCTTCTACAAACAATAGAAGGACATGCCAGAAAAATGAGGGAGGCTTATCATAAATCAGACAGTGATGTGGAGTCATCTATACTTCTCTTGATCAGTGACTAGAGAATCCTGCACATCAGTAAAAATATCTGAAATAGAAGCAGTCAGTTTTAGGAAACTGAGATCTTGGGCAGCCGAACATTTCCACTTGGGCAAAGATTAAACTTTTCCTCTGTTGTTGGCCAACACGTATTCTTTGAAAGAATAATTAGCCCTGAAGCAAAATAAAAAGAATCAGAGACTTTTAGAATCAGAAGGGAAAAATCCCTGTTTAAAATTTAGGACATTTCAACCCAGAAAGCTGAACAGACTTGCCTTCCGGCTCAGGGACACAAAATGACTCATGTCACTAATAAGAACACTGGTTACTCCCTCTCATTTTGTGCCCTGCCTCATTAATGAAGTGTTCTCGAGGCCAGGGGTACTCCTTGTACTCATCCTATTTTCTGGTGATAATTCCCTGCTGGTGCTGTTTATTAAATACCCATTGAAGTCACTTTCTTTTTTTCTTCTTTTTGGGTCACACCCAGCGATGCACAGGGGTTACTCCTGTCTCTGCACTAAGGAATTACCCCTGGATGTGCTCAGGGTAGCATATGGGATGCTGGGAATCAACCCAGGTTGGCATGTGCAAGGCAAACGCCCTACCCACTGTACTATCACTCTAGCCCCTGAAGCCACTTTCAAAGTATGTTCCTGTTAACTATCAACTGGAGAAATCTTACCAAGTAGCTAATTTAAATGCCTTATGTTTATCCAAAATGTTATGGCTTCATTTCCTAAAACTTTCCTTAAAAAATAGAATGTGCCTCTAGCTTTCTACAGTTTGGTTCTTTTTTTTTTTCACAACAAGAGCTTTTCGAGAAAATCTGGTGAATGCCTAGAACTCACATCAGTCTATTACAAAACAAAATAATATTGATCTCAGTTCTCAGGAAAAACTAACATCACTTAACCCATGCCACATACCACAATATCACCCCACCCTAACAAAAAAACAGAGGAAAACTTTGTACTGAAAGTTTGAAACTCTGAGAGAAATGTGTGCTCAGGTCCTTTGGGGGTGGCTTAGAAGGACAGATGTCATGTGACTGATCCTGGGTGTTTTCTTGATGCAGACATTGACTTCTGTGAAAGCAGCGTTCAGTGCCACATGGGGCAGGCAAACCTCACCCCCGAGCTGCTTCAGAGGCTGATGGACAGCTTGCCAGGGAAGAAAGTGCCCCCAGAAGACATTGAGCAAACCACAAAGATGTGCTCCTCCAGTGAGCAGGTCCTGAAGCTGCTCAGCCTGTGGAGAATAAAAAATGGTGACCAAGACAGTCTGAAGGGGCTGTCGGAGGCCCTCAAACACTTGAAAGCATACCACTTTCCCAAAACGGTCACTCAGAGTCTGAAGAAGACCATTCGGTTCCTGCGCAGCTTCACCATGTCCAGACTGTATCAGAAGCTATTTATGGAAATGATTGGGAAGCAGGTTCAGTCGGTAAAAACAAGCTGCTTATAATGGGGAATGGTCATTGAGCTGTTTCTGGGCCACATTGGATGGATACGTGAACTGTTTCTCAGGCACTTGATGGGAACAATGACATCTTTCTCAACACCAAGTTAGGCTGGACCATAAAACACACAAGAAGCTATGGTGTGGCGGAAGAACTAAGAGCTCCTCCCCACCCCCAAGTTCAGTCATTTCCAAATAGTTTATCCAATTGAAAGATCTCATCCAATGTCTACCCACCATTGTTTTCCCTTATTACTATGTGCAGTAATTCAACTGGAAATAAGAAACTAGCCTCTATTGTGCCTTACTTAATATGGGAATGTCTAACTTAAATAGCTTTGAGTTTTCACCTATTCTAGATGCTTTTATTAGAAAGCCATATTTTTTTCAGTAAAAGTTACTAATATATCTGTAACACTATTACAGTATTTGCTATTTATATTCACTCAGATATAATGTTTGTACATATTATCATTCTAAGGGGAAATTGTGTATGACAATTTTTAGAAAGAAAAAATATATTCTGTTTATTATTATGATAAATGAAAGAGATAAAATATATATTTTTAATGAAGTTCGTAGCATTTTTAATAGGTACTGCCATTCTTCCTGTGTCGAGTGGCTTTGTAATATAATTCTTCTTGTATAAGCTGTAATATCATTTTATAGAAAATTCATTATTATTAAGTCAATTGTTTAATGTTGGAAAGTTGATGAAATATAAGTTATCTGAATATTAGATGCTCTGAGAAATTGAATGTACTTTATTTAAAAGATTTTATGTTTTTACTATATAAACATCATTAAATTCATCAAATTATTTTTTATTGCTTTTCCTCTTGCTTTTATTTGAATCAGACATTAATAGATCAGAGTTGCCACAATTTTTCCTATTATTTTATCATCAGGGCTATCTTAGAATTGTTAAATAAGTTTGCTGTACCGGAATATTGAGAAACCCTGTAGAGGAAGGTTGAAATGTGCATTTTAAACAAATTCCAACATATCTTATATCATGTTCCCTAGAATCTGTAACTGTTAACCTAATTAGAAAAAGTGTTTCATAAATGAAGTTAAGGGTCTTGAGGGAAAGAAAGTATCTTGAATTATTCACAAATAGAAGAAAGGCAAATGAGGAGGTGATGATATGAAGACAGAGATGGTGTATTATAACCATTGCCATACAAAGTAGCACTGTAGCACTGTCCTCCCATTGTTCACAATTTACTCTAGCGGGCACCAGTAATGTCTCCATTGTGAGAATTGTTGTTACTGTGTTTGGCATATCAATCAAGTCACAGGCAGCTTGCCAGGCTTTGCCATGTAGGGGAGATACTCTCAGTAGCTTGCCAGGCTCTCCGAGAGAGGCAGAGGAATCGAAGTTGGGTCAGCCTGGTTGGCCGCGTGCAAGGCAAATGCCCTACCCACTGTGCTATTGCTCCAGCCCAAGAAAAGTAGGAGAAGTGAAAAAATTTTCCCCCTAAAGAGTATCTGTGTGGAGTACAGCTTACTGACATCTTAATTTTGGACTTCTGGCTCCTAACTCTATGAAAACACTCAATTCTGTTTTCTGTTTGCTCGTTAATTTGGGGGCTGATCTTGTCAGTGCTCAAGAACTATCCCTGGCTCTGTGCTATGGGGCCCACTCGGCAGTGCTTGGGATAGAATCTGTAGATGCACTCAGCCCTTTGAACTCTCTGGCACATATTGCTTTTGTGCTGGTAGTAACTGCTTCATCAGCCACCAAAAATGCAACATGGATCATATCCAAACCACAGAGATGGCAGAATTAAGATGGCTCTGAAAGTAATAGTGTTTTCTCCTGTGGTCTTTTTTTTTTTTTTTGGCTTTTTGGGTCACACCTGGCAATGCTCAGGGGCCACTACTGGCTCTGCACTCAGAAATTACTCCTGGCAGTGCTCAAGGGACTAGATGGGATGCTGGGAATCAAATCTGAGTTGGCCGCATGCAAAGCAAATGCCCTCCCTGCTATATTATCACCCAGGTCCCCATGGTTTCTAGTTATCCATGTTTTCATTTAAAATTTCCAATCCAATTTACATACAAGTGGTACTACATGGAAAGTATCATGTTAAGCGAAATGATTCAGAAAGAGCGGGATAGACACAGAAAGATTGCATTCATCTGGGGAACATAAAGCAACAAAACGGGAGACTAACACCCAGGAATGGCTCAGATTAGTACCAGGAATATTGCTCCATGACTTGAAGGCCAGCCACATGTGCTAGGTGAAAAGGAAGCTCAGATAGAGAAGAGAACACCAAATAAAGGGTGTTGTGAAGACCCTCCCAGGGTGGGAGAGACATGCTAAAAGTAGTCTATAGACCAAACATGATTGCCACTCAATGCCTCTCTGGCAAAACACAGTACCCAAAAGAAGAGAGAGAGAACAAGGGGGAATGCCCTGCCACAGCAGCAGGGTGGGACGGGGGGGGGGGGGGGGGGATGGGGGGGGGAGGGATGCTAGGACCCGTGGTGGGGGAGGATGGGCACTGGTGGAGGGATGGGCACTTGATCATTGTATAACTGAAACCCAAGCACAAAAATTTATAAGTCTATAAATGTACTTCATGGTGTTTCACTAATAAAAAAATGATTAAATAAAAAAAAATAAATAAAATTTCCAATCCCTAGAAGAAAGACTCTGGTTGTCCTAAATTGTGACTGTTTAAAGACAAGGCCAAGGAGGGTCTTTTTTATTGTTGTTCTTGTTATTTTACTTTTTGTTTTGTTTTAAACAGTTGCAACTCCCAAGAGTGACTTATGTGATGAACTAGTTGTACCATTTCCCATCCTTTCCCAATCTATTTCTCTTTGTTGTTTTATTTTTTTTCCCATACTGAGTTAGAATATAATGTTGGTACAAAGTCCTGTCTTTGCAAAAGCGTATCAGTTGTGGCTACTTCAATAAAGGGCAAATCCAGGCAAATATTACACAAACTTAACATGCAGGGAAATAGAAAGCAGAGATGAAGATAAGAAACTCAAACCTGCAGTTCCCAGTGTTTCAGTCCTTGAAACAGGGAAAAGTAGGACAGAACTGAAGTTCTGAAGCTATGAACAGGCAAATAGGAGTTAGCTAATGACCATTAACTTTCCCTTCAAAAGCTCCAGTTCTTCCACTCAAATTCCCATTTGCAGAAAATGAAATGGCCCACATAGCATCTGAGTTTAAGAAAACATTTGAAGTTTAGAGCATCAAATGTAATTTGTGAAAACGCTACTGTGATGGCTTCCCCGGAATCCTGAGTTCAGTCTGCCGCAAGCTTCCCTCTAAGGGAGATAAAATAGGTAAGTCATAATAAAAGTTCCTTTTCTATACCCTCCACCAAGTTATAAATTTTGTAAAACATGCATTGATGTGTTCTCATGAATAGACCAATGTCTATGGATTTGTGGGAAGAAAATCATGTAGGCAGTGGCCCTTTACATTACATTATTTTGGGAGCACATGATACCAGCCCAAAGAATTACTGTTAATGTTAACCTTGGTAACTGAGTTCATGTCCCCTGCATTCCTTTCGCTTTATTGTTGTGATGACCAGGGACCCACTAACACTGGGTTGTGGAACTCTCACATATTGACGTAGTGTTCAAAGGGGCCAGACACTTTAGTTATTATGGTATTCACACACCTCTTCGGAGGCACCAGGGCATTCTAGAGAGCAGAGCTACGAGGACTGTCCTAAGTCTACGTGGGTGGTCCCAAGGCTCAAATATTGGTGTCATGCTTGAAGGCAGGCACTTTTGCCACCACACTATTAATTTTCTATCTAAGATTTGCCGTAGCAGAGCCAGAGGGATAGTGCAGTGGTTAAGTGTTTGCCTTAAGTGTGGCATACCCAGATTTGAATCCCTAGCACTTTACATGCCACCAGGAGTGATCCCTGACCACAGAGTCAGGAGTAAGCCCTGAGTACGCTCCATGTGGCCCTCAACCCCCCCAAACATAAAATTATGTAATATATATCCTGAAGATATATCCTGAAGATATATCCTGAAGATATATCCTTTTAAAATCATCTTTCTCTTTCCCACCCCCTTCTCGCTTTAGGTCTATGGTCATCCAGTAGTCCCAGTATAATTTATTTTTAAAAGTAGCATTTTTTTCAACTAATTATCCATTTATCTTTATAAAAAATAAGTTGTTGCTACTTCTGTGGGTATCTTTATGGACTCTCTCTTTTATTCCACCCATTTTTAAATCTATTCTTTCATAATATTGCACTCTTCATCGCTCTCCTTCTGTATTCTAAAATTATTTTTGCTTATTACTCTGTCCGTTGGGAAAAGTAAGTAAGGAGATGCTGCTAAAATCTCAGGGCTGGGATGAATGGAGACAATACTGGCGCCCACTCGAGTAAATCGATGAACAACGGGATAACAGTGATACAGTGATACAGTGGTTACTCTGTTGTTTTCTTGCCTTTTTGGTATGGTTGTTTTCTTTGTTTTTTCCTTTCTTTTTAGCTTCATATCCAAGTACAATATGCAAAGCAGTAGAAATTGAGGTAAATCTCTTACTTTCGGTGAGAATTTTAAAAAAAGGTTTTTGCATTAATCTAGTTAGTAACTGGATTGCGTTTGAGGTTTTTGGTCATCTGCTTAGTTTTTCCTATGGTTGTATTAAGTACATATAGATTCCAAGTTCCACTGGTCATTTTTTTATAGGGTGGTAGAAGTGAAGCTAAGCCACATCTGTTTGGTCTGAGTTTAATTCTCTTTAAGCTATGCCTTAAGGACCTTTTCTTTGTAGACAATTGCCCCCTTCCCATCTTTTATGAACCATTTGAAATATTTCAGTCTTGGGAGGTACAGATGTAGCTTTACTGTACTGCTTAAGGCTGTTTCTCAGGCATATCCGTGTCACAGTGTGAGCCTTTCTCTACTCTCCTGGCCTCTCCTCTTACTATTGTAGACTCAGTATCTAGTCCTGTCTATTTGCTAAGGAACAAGCTTTTGTAACTTTCTATTTCCTTCCACTGTAATGAGTATTTTTTGTTTGTCTTGGGGCCACACCTTACTGTGAGGCCACACCTCACTCCTAGAGGGGCTTAGGAGACAATCTATGATGCTGGGAATTGAACCCTGGTCAGTAGCATGCAAAGTAGGTATCTGCTATACTATCACACAGGCCCTTGCAATGAGTATCTATCAGTCACACAGTTTTGCTTTTCCCCCATAGATTAATGCTTGTTTTCCTCAGGTTCACTCTTCTTGCCCTCTGCACAGAGCTATTATTTCTTCCTCCAAGATTATCTTTTTTTTTTTTTTTCTGATTTACTCTCTGGTTGCACAAGGAGGCATGTTGAGAAAGCATCTACAGGATACAGATTCTTCATAGTTTCACAACGCCAGGAATTTCACACTGTTTTACCAGTCACACACAGCCTTCATCAACATTTAAGCCTCCCCTCCTGAGTTCTTTCTACTAGTGTCCAGTTACATCAATTCCAAACAAACACTTCGTTTTATGTCCTCCTTACTGGTAATCATTACCTCTTAGATTTTTAAGTCACTTATTTGATGATATCTCATGGTGCTTGTTTGCTCGAGCGGGCCCAGTAACGTCTCCACTGGAGACTTTGTTGTTACTGTGTCTGGCATATCGAATACTCTCGGTAGCTTGCCGGGCTCTCCGAGAGGGGTGGAGGAATCAAACTCGGATCGGCCATGTTGGCTGCGTGCAAGGCAAACGCCCTACCCGCTGTGCTATCACTCCATGGTGCTT